ACTTAAATCAAGAGGGCTTAAGATCTCCCAAAAAGAAAGCTTAAAATTTTGGAATGAGGTGTATCAGTTCACGCCCTGGATCCTGTCAGCAAACATATCTGATCCAGAGGTCTGGACTAACATTGTATATCTAGCTCATAAAAAAAAAGAAATCCAGGAAATGCATAATTTCTCCCTTTCCATTCTCCCCATAATAACAGCCATCCAACAATGCTTAAGAAACCCACCTAAGATTAAAAAGCTTACAAGCACCAGATCCATTGCTAACCACAGGGAGAATTTGCTTGTGTTTTCCCACAGGATCAACCAAAGGATTAAAAAAAAAGAGGCGGAGACGACACCCAAAGCCCCCCTAGAGCTTCCTTCTATGCCATCCTCATGGCTGTCTTTACCCTGCTTAACACCAACGCTTCAGCCAACCCCCACTCTCCCTAATACCATGTGCTAAAGATTTTATTTTCAGGAAAAAAATCAGATCCATGGAACAATCGCTGGAGCATTGGAGTAATAACAAAATTATACTCAGGTGCATTCTCTAGGTACCCACAGCTAACTTTCATGTCTCTAAACAGCTTGCTCCTGCAGCCAAGTCTGTGCTAACTCATAATATTATTCTACAGGAAAGACAGAGGACCAAATAAGATCAACTACGTCCTGGAACAAGTCTAACTTTCTTCCCTTCACCACCAACCCCAATGTCTAATTGCCTTTTTTGTGCATCCAGCAATAGATTTCTACTGACAGCAGTACCAGTTACCACCCTTCTCTACCCAGGAGCTGCCAGCAGAGAAAGATCTTCTTCCCCCTGCTGGTAGAGATCGAACTTACACTCTCCCTGAATGCTGGAGGTGTTGCTATGGCGACAGCAGCTACAAGCCCAGCACCTGGCGAGAAATCTCCAAGACAAGCTAGACCGAGCAACGACACCCATGACTGAAGCCTGGAATCCTCCAACAGCAAATGAACTTTCTCGCCAGGGCTGTGCTTCACAACAGAAGAACATTGGACTTGATAACTGCTATATGGGGAGGGTATATGATATTGAGAAAAAATGCTGTTTCTTTGTAAATGAATCAAATGCTGTTGAAACTGATGTTAACACTCTCAAAAAAACTTTGTAATAACCCATTTTCAAGATTTCAACCCACCAAACAATTAGGTTGGCTTAGCAATCCCTTGTTTACATGGCTCCTATCCCTTGTTGCCCCCTGGTAATACTGTGTATTATTGCTTGCTCACTGTTTTTAAGATTTCTTTGCTGACAATTACTGCCATTTGCTAAAATCACTACAAAACAGGTCATGGTCAATTATCAGACTTTGGATTTTTTCCGAGATGAGACGAATTGGCCCTTAGGGCTGGTGATGGCACTTCTCCATA